CCGAAGGTTTTGTACCGTCTATTTGGAAATCTGCAGATATAATTGCCTTACCAAACCCCCCCCCCCCCCCCTGTTTCAATTGAGAGCGATCTGAGACCGATCTCCCTAACACCATTGTTAGCAAAAATATTAGAAATTTATGTGTGTAAATGGGTTTGGAATGATTATCTCCCCCATGTTGATCCAAACCAGTATGGGAACATACCAGGGTCCTCAACTGTACTTGCCTTGATCAATCTCCTTAACAATTGGTCATTTGAAACAGATGCTAAGAGAAAGGCTGTGAGGATTGTGTTGGTAGATTACAAGAAAGCTTTTGATAGGATAAATCACGATTTACTTCTTAGAAAGTTGGGAAATTTGCAGATGGATCCTACACTTGTTAACTGGATAAGAGCGTTCCTCTATCAAAGAAAGCAAAGAGTTAAAATCGATCAAATAAGATCTGAGTGGCTGACAGTTAATGGGGGTGTCCCACAAGGGACTAAAATGGGACCACTGTTGTTTATAATTATGATAACGGATTTGGGTTGTAATCTTCCCGTTGTCAAATATGTTGATGATACAACATTGTATGAGATATGTCCATATGGTGAAAATGGCACGATTCAGAATACCCTCAATGAACTTGCACACTGGTCTGACTTGAATGATATGCAGATAAATCCAATGAAGACCAAGGAAATGGTTGTTTGCTTCATGAAAGACGATCCAAACTTACCATATCTTACCATCGGTGGAAATCAAGTAGAGAGGGTTCAGGAAGTCAAACTACTCGGTTTGTACCTCATTAACAAACTTAACTGGGATACCCACGTGAAAGAAACCTACACTAAAGCAGCAAAACGCTTGTACCTTCTTGTTCAATTACGAAGGGCAGGTTTAAATCAGATTGATATGTGCAGATACTATGTGGCATGCATTAGATCGGTGTTAGAGTATGCTTGCCAAGTATTTCATGGAGGTCTGACCAAAGAACAATCCGAAATGTTAGAGTCCATCCAAAAAAGGGCAGTTAGAATTATTTCACCTGGACTATCATACTCTGACGCCCTTGTCTTTCTTAACCTCCAATCCCTTTCTGAACGTAGACAAAAACTATGCCTTAATTTGTTTACCCAAATTCGTAACCCCAGTCACATGCTAAACCATCTTCTTCCTGCTCCAAGAGAAACAAGATACTCTCTTCGGAACAGCAAAGACCTGTACCCTCCCAAATGCAAAACTAATAGATACAAAAATAGCTTCATACCCTGGTGTCTGTTTAATCTACAATGATCTTGCCAAATTTAATGTATTTTTATTGTCCTTTTTATTGAGTATATTCTCGTTAATTAAATGTAATAATTTTAATAAGAAGACATCAATCCTATTTTACATATTTGTGATTATCATACGACACCGTTTTATTAGTGTCCTCAAACTTTGTACAGGGTATTACATTTAATCAATAATCATTATTGCCAATTTTATATTGAATCAAAGTACCGTTTAGACATTTTACTTAAATTACACACTTGTTCATTATATGAATTTTAAAATAATTGAGAATGTAACAAATTTGATATCAATTGAATTTGTCTGGATTAATTTTTACAAATAATGCATTATACCACCACTCAATTTGGGTTTACTGTCTTTTTTTTTTCTTTTTTTTTTTCCTTCAAAATATTCCTCAATTGTAACTGTTCTGAACAATACGTTGATGTCAGTTGATATATGATTATTGGTCCTTATATTTATGTTTAAATCTTATTTTACATATTTTTTTATTATTATACGACACCGGTTTATTAGTATCAAACTTGGGGCTACTTGTATTCAAGCTTTGTACATGGTATTACATTTAATTAATAATCATTATTGCCAATTTTATATTGAATTGAGGTGCCGTGTAGATGTTTTACTTAAAATTGCACACTTGTTTATTATATGTATTTTATAATAATTTAGAATGTAACAAATTAAATACCAATTGAATTTGACTGGATATATATATATATATTTTTTTTTTACGGATAATGCATTATACCACCACTCAATTTGGGTTAACTGTCTCTCTCTTTCTTTCAAAATCTTTCTCAATTTTAATTGTTGGACAATACGTTGATGTCAGTTGATATATGATTATTTGTCCTATGAAGTCCTATGTACCTTTTAATTATGTTTAAATGCGATTGCTCGTGAGTGCTTTTTTTTTCTTCTTTTCATATCTATGTATTTAAAGTGTCAATTTATACATTTTTATTGTACAAAGTATATATACATATAACTATATTGTGAACCATTTATATGCCTGCCTTTTTCACTGTATAAAATCCAACTTATGGTTGCAATAAATGAATGATTTAATATGATGGTTTAAAGATATGTGCAAGAAATTTTAGTTGATATATATTAACAAAGTAATTTATATTTAGCAAAGCAATCTCACATACAATATTACTATCAAGTGTCGTCTGCTACGCCGATTGTCGCCTGCTTCGTTTAAGGCACATATTTATCGTTTGGACTGTAAGGTATACCAGGGAGATTTGTATTTTCCTGCGGTACAACGTATAGCAGGAAAATGTTGTATATGCAGATCATTTTAATGATTACGTAATGGAAGTGCCGAGACGCCACGATTCCGTATGGTTTGAATAACTTAGGCAGGTGAAAGTTATTGTATTGAGAAGGAAAGGAATGTTCACACCCGACGGCGCGGTGGCCTGTACTTATAGCGAAGGAGAAGAAGAATGTATAATTCGGGCCATTGCGCGCGAACACATCACACCCAATGGCATACACCCGGTACCCCAGTGGCGGATCCAGGGGGGGGGGGGGGGCCCGGGGGGCCCGGCCCCCCCCCCCTTGAGAAAAAAATCATGTAAAATCACGTGATTTTTACCTTTTTGGGGGGTTGGCCCCCCCCCCCCTGGCGCTCAAGGGGGGGGGGTGCAAATTGAAATTTTTTTGAGGATCAAAAAAAAAAAAATGTGCTCACTACCCCACTAAAAATGTGCTCACTACTAGTTTGCCATTAGAAATAGTCCATTTCTCGATAATTTCACAAAATATATTTGCCGCCGCATTCAATATGACGTCATTGACAGCTGATTGGCTAGTTTGGTAGTGACGTCGAACGAGCTATGTTTGTGCTGCAGTGATCCAGCGAGCGAAAATGAGACAATCGGAGCAATATCTTAGGGAGTTTAAAGACACTCAGTAGTCAGCTCTCATGGGGAATTCGACACCGTTCGGGTGTTTACCCCAAAACAGGTGTTGTCAATCACCCGGGCTAGCCTTGTGTTTTATGACCATTAGACCTTATGTAATGCTTTGCTTTCCCCCGTTACCCGAAAACTCTCGAGTATTATCCGAGAGATTAGGGGAGAATTCTTGACTGGCCAACGGTTTTGCTGTGTGCAGATTTGTACTCCCATTAATGGTATATCCACCAAGTCTGGTGTCAGCGAAATATGGCCTTCTGCACATGGAAACTGCCGATACGGTCCCTTTAATCCCCCGATCCCCCTTGGGCTGCCAAGTGAAAATGTGATGTGCATAGAAAAATGCTATCATGTGTCCAGACCTACACAGTAGTAGTAGATTTCAGTAGATGCCAGGAAAACATCACTAACGGGGGTTCAAAATAGCACCAAAAAATCGCCTCGCCGCTTCACGGCTCGTGGACGATGCTCCACATCGTATTTGGTTTACCCCCCCCCCACCCTTTTTTTTAGCGGGGGGGGGGGGGGGGGGGAGGCAACAGCCTGGGAGGCAAGGCCCTTTCGCACCCCCCCCCCCCCCGATCTCCTTCTTCCCCCTTTTCTTTTCTTCTTCCTCTTCTTTCTTTCCCTTTCTCTCCTCTTTTCCTTTCCCTTCTTTTCCTTCTCTCTCTCTCTCTCTCTCTTTTGCGGAAGGGGGGGGGGGGGCAAGGCCCGCTCACCCCAGCTGGATCCGCGCCTGCATCTACATTATATCTACCAACGTTAGACCCTAATAATGGATCTAGAAGATTAATTGACCTGGTCTCAGTGACGGGTTAACTTTTTTTTCTCAATTACTTGGTCTATAACCCTGAAAACCATCTAATTTTTACTTTAGATTTTCAAACAGTAACAGTTACGACCTAAATTAGGCCTAAGGCCAAGGGCTGTACTCTGCATTTTAATAACAAATTTAACGTAAACGTTAGACTTAACTTAAACTGTTGTTTCTCTGTGATACAAGTGGGATGGGACCACTTTTTTTTTCAACAGCAAACAAAAAAAATCTTTCCCCCTTTTTTTTGATCACGGGGATAAAAGTATGCAGCTATGTAACAAGTAGATTTCTAAGAGGGAAAATGCCGACTTAAATAAATGATAATGATAAAATACCAAGGAATTTAGGAGTTTCATGGGTACCAATTCAATGGAAATTTGTATTAAAATAAGAGCCCCCGTCAGCACTAAAAGAGCCCTCGTGAGAAGGCTCACGCGGCTCTTTTTGGGGGGAAGCGCCCCCGTGGACAAAAACATTAATTTGAGCCCTGCTCTCTTGCATAAAGAAAATATGAAAATAATATTTTGCTTTTTTTTAGGTATGTATTCTTTGTATTTTCATAATGTACATAATTGGTATTTGCATGTTTCGGGAATGGGGACAAACTTAGTAACTGAAATCCGATTCATTCCTGTGCTTTGATCCTTGGACAAGGTGTTTTGTTCACATTTGTCCCTTTAGACCCAGGGATTTTTCTTGAATACCGGGAAACACTGGGATGATAACATACAAGGTTCTTTTTCCGTAGAATAAAATCATGTATTTTATTCTATTTCTTTGATCGAGTTCAATATTGTTAGGATATTGCTTTTACTATGTATATTTCGTCACTCCATCGGATAAAGAATCATCGTGCAATACCAATGTGGCTACTCGGGGTAAATAAGACCCAATTATTGTTTAATCATTTTTCTTTATTACGCCTATAAGGTCAACGTAAGATTTGAAATTCGAATCCCATAAATAGGGGCTTAACTTGTGTTTAGGTGGACGATTTCAGAATAGATAATAATGTCATGTTTTCTCAGTTAATTTCGAGCCTTCATTTTCTTTCCGTTAAAGGATATCTATGGAGGAGAACAATTATCGGTTGAGGCAGATTTCATCCTCGAGATCGTTAGCTATGTTGGTTGCCTGATGTCAATATCGGGCCTTGTGATGACAATCTTTACATTTGCCACAAACAAGTGAGTACAAATATCAAGTGCCAAATTATTATTGTCTTTATAAATAATAAGAAACCATTTTTGTTAAGCACATGGAGAAGAATTTGAACCCGCTTAATCTCATACAATCGTCTTTGTTTCATTAAATTTAGACATCAACATTTGATAAAAAGAAATTCATGTCTAAATTGAGGAGACGCGATAGCTCAGTAGGTAGAGGAGTGGTCTTGTAATCCGGTAACCCAGCTCCGAAACCAAGGCGATGCGCTAGTGCCCTTTGGTAAGGCATTAATCCTCATTACCAGGTTCAAGTTCAAGTTCAAGTTCATTTTATTTCACATCCAATAAAAACATCATTATAACATTATACAAAATGCAATATATATAAAATAAAATATAATAAGAACAAATAAAACAACAACAGTAACACTAAAATTGATTAATGGGTGGAGTAGGGATGTGAGGGACCAGCAAAGGCCATTGACCTATCTAGGCTGGTCCCCTTTTTCTACAACCCCAAAAGTAAAATCTTTAGTAATTAAAAGCAAAATATTGACAATATAGACATTACATTAACTAAGACATATAAACACACATACAAGGACAGGCAGAATTAATAAAAGCTAAAAAAGTATATTGTAACTTGATATTTGTTGTTTTTAAAATTACGCTTAAAACTAGACAATGTTGGGCATGCTTTGAGAGAATCTGGTAAGTTATTCCAAATAATGGATCCTTTATATTTTATTGTAACTGTTCTTGACAAATTATAGCGAAATGAAGGAACATAAAGTTTGTGTGAATTTCTAGTACTATATTGATTTATATCTCTATTAAAAATAAAATAATTATTAAAACAATCAGGTAAAGTAGTTATATTGTACATGTAAGAGAACATAAAAGCTCCAATACTTATATCATATAGATCATAAAGTTTTAAAAACTTCAGCTTAAAAAACAATGTACCTGTATGTGCTCTATAATATGAGTTTGTTATAACCCTGACGGCTCTTTTTTGTAATAAAAATAGCTTTTGAAGCAGATACGAAGCGCAGTTGCCCCATACAATAATACAATAATTAAAATAAGGCAAAATCATAGAGTTATACAATTGTACAAGTATGCGTAATGGTAAAATATCTTTGAGTCTATTTAAAACACCAATGACCTTTGACAGCTTGTTAGAAATATAATAAATGTGGTCCTTCCACGTTAAGTTTTCATAAATAATGACGCCTAAGAAAGTAACTTGGTGTACTTGCTTAATTTCTTTACTATTTATACAAATCTTGATAGCAGCTTCATTTACATATTTATTTCTTGTTTTAAAAATTACATAGTTTGTTTTTTCAAAATTAATCAACAATTTATTGGCAAGGAACCACTTGTGTATTTTAACAATTTCAGAATTCAATAGAATATTTATTTCTACGGGATCTTTACCAGATAAAAACAGAGTGGTGTCATCAGCAAATAAAATAGAAGATAAAATATTGCTTACAGATGGCAAGTCATTGATATACAGTAAAAACAGGAGCGGGCCAAGATTAGAACCTTGCGGCACACCAGTTAAAATAGTGCTGTGATCAGAGTAATAATTACCAAAGCTAACATATTGCTTTCGGTTTGATAAATAATTTTTAATTAAAAGAAGAGGAATTCCTCTTATACCATAAAAACATAACTTATTTATTAAAATATTATGATCAATACAATCAAAAGCTTTGGATAAGTCTAGAAATACACCAATTAAAAATTCATTAAGTTCAAAAGCATTTGCAACTTTATCAATAAAATCAAGAAGAGCATGGCAAGTACTGTATCCTTTTCTAAAAGCAAATTGATTTTCATACAGAATATTATTTTTACTAATAAAACGAGTCAATTGATCACATAAAATCTTTTCAAATATTTTGCTAAAAACAGATAACACAGATATCGGCCTATAATTATTTAAAAGTGACTTATTGCCTTTTTTAAAAACAGGAATCACCTTTGCAATTTTTAGAGCATCGGGGAAAATACCTTGTTCAAAGGAAAAGTTTAAGATATTGCACAAAGGTGTAACAATCATATAAATCGAGTTTTTCAATACCTTAGGGTGAATTTCATCGTATCCTGGACTTTTATTTTCATCAAAATTCAAAACCACATTAATAATATCAGCGTTAGTAACAGGCTGTAAAAACAATGAATTCAAAAAGTTACCCTTCAAGTACTCGTCGTATTTTGTTGATTCAATATTGCAAGTAATCAAATTATCGATACTTTGCTGTAGTTTTTGCCCGATTGTACAAAAATAAGAATTAAATATATTTACAATTCTTTGTTTATCAGTAATCTTTTCACCATCAACTTCAATATCATTGATCCCATGCTTTAATGTTTTCTTGTTTAAAATTGCATTAATAAGTTTCCATGTTGCTTTCACATTATTTCGAACATTATCAAACTTAGAGTCATAGTATGCACGTTTATTTTCCCGTATTAAATTATTTAAGACATTCCTGCATTCTTTATATGCCATTTCACGTAAAGAGGTTGAGTTTCTTAGGTATTTACGATATAATATATGTGGCAGCGACCTCCCAAGAAAAGCCTGGGTCAACCTAAACCGTGTCAGAACTGGAGTTGGCCGCACACAATATTTCCTACATAAAATTGGAGCTGAATCATCACCAAACTGCGCCTGTGGAGAGATCAAAACTATGGATCATGTCATTGATGATTGTCCGATCTACAAATCCCCCCACGGCGCTTCCGGACTTCGTGAGCTCGATGATGAGACGATCTGTTGGCTCAATAAGGATCTTCCTATCTAGATGATGTACTCCCTGATATTCTTTGCACGAACGAACGGATATAATATATGCTTACGTTTACTCAGCTTGATTACCTCTTTTGTTACCCAAGGCTTATCAACTTTATTTTTACTTTTAACTAATTTAACAGGGAAACATTCATCGTAAATATCCTTATATAATTTAAAGAAATAATTGTATCTATCATTCGCATCACAAATATAATTAAGTCGTTCCCATTTAACTTTGTTCAACTCACTACAAAAATGCTTCATATTTTCTTCACTAAAATCAATTTTTCGCACTTCAATATCAGGTTCAGAATCAAAATTGTTTGACCTCAAAATAATAAACGGTGTTAAATGATCACTGATATCTGTTATCACTATACCAGATTTCAAAACTTTTCCAGGATTATTATAAAAAATATGATCTAAAGTTGATGCAGTATCATTTGTAATTCTTGTTGGTTTATAAATATATGGTAAAAAAGACAAAGCAACAAAACTATCAAAAAAATCCATTACTTTCGTATTTTCATCTTTTTTCATGAAATCAACATTAACATCGCCCAGAACTACACATTCTTTTTTTTTCCTGCACTATTTTAATCAAAGATTCTTGTAATTGTGACATAAAGTTAGATGGGTTATGGCTTGGAGGCCGGTATACTACAGCAACAATAATATTTTTCACTTTATTACGTACCTCAATAAATACACTTTCAATATCCTCACTAAATATATCTAAGTCCAATCTTCTAATAAATCTTAAGCTATCACTAACATATAAACCTACACCACCCCCTCTTTTATTCGGTCGACAATTTCCAACAAAATTATAGTTGGGAATACATATTTCTTGTTCTTCACCTTGTTTCAACCATGTTTCACAAACTCCAATTAATGATAAAGGTTTATAAAAAACATCAAGACAGTTTAAAAATGTATCAAAATTTTGTTTCAAGCTGCGACAATTAAATTGTGCAAGAGAGAGCGTACTTTGTTCATAATTTTTTTAAATATTACAAAATTCTAAAGGAGTGTAATATTGATTTTCAATAAGGTCACCAGTATCATTATCAAGTCTTGAATCAGATTTATTATCTAGTTTACATAAAAAACAATTTCTGCATGTTAAATTATGTTGCCTGTTACACAAAATACAACTACATTCAGAAGACATCAAAGAACAAGAAACAAGAAAAATACAATACAATATCGAATAATACTATCATCAAAATACTAAGAAAACAAAAAATAGTTTACGATGGCTGTAAACACATGGGAACTGATGATTATTGTCTCTGTAAAGTAGTAAAAAGTCATTTGTAGTTCATATCTTTGAGAGATCACTCACCGACCAAATTCTTTTCCTGACTGATCTACCGTTCGTTGCTTTCAGTAACAGGATGATCCTGCCGTCAGTCGACCAAGCTGCATCTATCTTGTCATTTTTCTTTACTTCTTCCTTCGCTTTGTACAGGATAGTCCTATTTCTTACGGTCAGATCTTCTTCTATGCCTATGTGGGTACCTTTCAGCTTTCTGCGGTTCTTCAAGAACCTCTCTCTAGTGCGGTACGAGGTGCACTTCACTATGATGGGCCTCGGTTTTGCAGCGCTCCTCCCAGTTGTGCTATGTGCCCCTGCAGCTGCAGGCGCGCCTACACGATGAGATCTGTCAATCTCATGTTGCTCCAAGTTGAGATCCATCTTCTCGCGAGCCAGATCAAGAACCAGCTTGTCGGTGTCCTCTCCTGGGTTCTCAGGTACGCCGTAGACACGAACACAGGTACGTCGGGAGTACTGTTCGGCTTCGTTGGACTCCTGCTTCAGCTTGTTGATACTGGCCAGGTTGCTTTCTTGCTGTTCTTGAAGAGTGATGATGGTGTTTGATTTGGAGCGTAGTTGATGCTCGAGCTCAAGGATTTTGCCTTCCGCTCTCTCCAACTGCTCACGCAGGTCCTGCATTTCACATTTTGTCGATTTCGTAAGTGCTGTCTGAAGCATCTTGTTAAATTGTTTACTTTTAAAATAGTCTTGTACCTCTTCAGCTATCTGATCATGTTTGTCATATGATTCAGTTTGAGGTTCAGTAGTAGCAGCAGCAGTGTTTTTTCTGGTTTTGTTTGCTGGCATTGTGAAGCAGGCAGGTTTATCGGTGAGTAGAAGCTACCATATATAAGCTTTAAACAAGGCTGGTTTCGCGGATGAAAAGAAAGTGAGGTTTAGTGAGCTGTTGGTGTCAAAGGCTTTCTGGTTTAAGTTCAGGGCTCAATAGATAATGTCTGAATAGACTATTGTCACTGACTCAACAGGATCGATGTAATCAATTGAAATTCTTTGGTCACTATGGCTGTAGGCTACTTGAGTTCAAAATTTCAGCAAATCACTCATGTACTGTACTTACACAGAGTTATGCACATGGGACAAGCAGCATCATGATCCAAAGAAGCCAATGCAGAGTTGAGATCAGAAAAATCAGTTTTCAGTCAATAATTCTCATTTCCCAGTGTACACATGGTTATCAAACCCTCGGAGAGGACCTAAAGCCATCGGCCGTCTGGTTGCTTACGTACAAGCATTTATGCTTTCTTAGCAGTCGGGTAAAATAACAGCCTCCACATGTTAATACGATGACGATATTATTGATCGCCTCCAATGTACACTGTTTCGAAAAAAAGGCTGTCAATGGTATTAAACGTAATGAGAACAAATGTGATTATCCTAACCCTAACCGGAACCATAACTGAAACAAATCAAATATTTCTCCCCTGCAAAGAAGTTATTCCAAGTCAACTTGAGACTTCCACATGTTCAACTGAAGGTCATTTTAGAGGATTTAAAGAAATGGTAAATTTGTTCATGAATTTTAGTTATTCAATTATGATAATGCAGCATTCACAGAGTATCTTCTGGTTTACTTTTTCATCTCTCAGAAAGCTTCGAGACCGGAAACCCAACCAGATTCTCCTATCCCTCTGCTGTGCCTTACTAGGACTCTATGTGGTCTTTATAGTCATGATATCAGTGGACACTAAACGGGATGTGACTGAGCTCTCCCCTCTCCCTTGCTCGATCCTGGCTGCATTCCTCCAATATTTCATCCTGGCAGCTATTTTCTGGATGGCCGTTGAGGGCTACAACATGCATAATCTCCTCGTACTGGTCCACCATTACTATTTGCCACGGTTTATGAAGAAAGCTTCGTTGATCGCATGGGGTAAGATTTCATCTGCTCCTTGAATTAATACAAGGGCGTCACTAGAAGGAGGGGATGGAACGTAGGCTTTCCCCCTCCCCTCCCTCGTTCCATATGCAAACATATGAAATAAATGTATCCACAGACTTTGAACGAGAGGGCAGAATATTCATTGTGCGTTATTCACTGTTTTCCGAGTATTTGGGTTTACTAGATTTTACGAAGATCATGTGTTTGTCCGTCGGGGCGCCGATAAAACGGATTATTATAACATGACTCCACCTACCACCTCTCCTCGCCTGAAAAGTTAATGTAGGAAATTTATTGTTCACACTTATCATGATTGTTGGCAAGGGAATACAATTTAAAGAAGTGCTTGTTTGAAGCCCCTTATATGTAGTAGAACTATTCTGGAGAAATTCCTGAACCCGTTCGCTTATTTCATCTCATTTTAGTTATTCCATTCATTTATATTTCTTCAGGGTATCCCATTCAACAAAAGTTGGTCTTCTATAGGCCCTGAAAATCCATTAAAACAAGAAAAAAATCATACAATCAAGTAGCATAAACACGTAACCTCATTTTTACACCTTATAAACTAATTCCATGAAATTGTTCAAGCTTAAAAACATAACAGATAACAAGAATCAATGACGAGGCTTGAAAGGATGAGCAAATGTTGATTATATATGTAGGTCACTTGCTGAGAGACGTAAAGGAAAGAAATATAGAAAGAAAGAACGAAAATCATAAAGGAATTAGAAAGACAAAAATAAAGAAGAAAGAAGAAATAAGAGGGAAAAGAAAGGGATAGGAAGAAAAGGACGAATAAAAACTTGACCACTCTCAAATTGTTTGTTCTTTTTGTAGGTTGCCCTTTGTTAATAGTCGGGATTACTGCAGGTGCTTCAAGACAACACTACGCACAGACAGATTTGTAAGTTTCTTCATGCAGAATATTTTTTTTTAACACATCGGGATATTGAAATTCTTCCGTCGTCGAAGGTAGTTCGGGGGGAATTACTTCTGCATTAGAAAGTCAATGGTGTTTTATATCTCAAATGCGATATGTTGTTAACCATATACATATTCATGTAGGTGAATGTTAATTATATGCATGCGTAAAATACTGGATGGTGAAATTATCGATTTCTTATCAAAAATCCTCTAACATTCTGAACACGTATTTGTTTTTTGATTTGTACTGTTGTTACTGTTGTGTTTTATAATCTAATATCACCTGGTTGTGACTGACTGAATTTCGTGTTCTTTGACACTCTGTAAGAGATAACATCCCATTATATTGGCATCATGACTTCACATGATCACAAAGAACTTGAAAGTCAAGTAAAGGGCCATTTCATGAGCCTGTTGTACCGCCTGCGCATATTTTTTTTTACACAACTGTTTAGCCATTTTCGCGAAAACATTCCAAGAAGTGCTCTGGTGAAAGAGTCTAAGTCGTCAGTGCACTATATATGTACAAGCACGTACACCCAGTGAATGGAAGATAATAGCTATAGGGGAAAACAAGGATAGCGGAGAGGATATAGAGAAGGAAAAACAATGAAATACATAAGAAAAGAGAAGAGGATAAGTCAAAGGAAGGACATAGAAATACATAATATTGAAGAGCTAAGAGGATCGTAGATCTAGACTAAGGAAAACCAGAGAAGTACATCCGGAAATACATAAAGAAGGAGAAAGGGAATCTATCAGATGAAAACAAAGAAATAGATGACGAAGGAGAAAAGGATAGATTGAAGGAGAAACAAAGAAATACATAAAACAAAAAAGAAAGGTTAGAATAAAGGAGAACAAAAGAAATACATAACGAAGGAGAACTGGAGGATAGATTGAAGAAAAAACAAAGAAATATATAACGAAGGAGAAAATAGATTGAAGAGAAAAAAAGAAATACATGAGAAAAGAGAAGAGGAAAGATTGAAGGATAACACAGAAATACATCATGAAAGAGAAGAGAGGATAGATTTAACCCGAAACAAATAACGAGTACGTACTCATGTACAGCCAGTGAGGTGTTTTTGGTACAGCTAAATCCAACGAAACTGCCGAGGGTAATGTTAGACTCTGTCTCTAGTCGTTTGCACAGTATCTTTGACTGAAGTGGCTTAACAGTACTGTTGTGTAAAAAAAAATATGCGCGTACCGCCTATGTAATTTAGGGCCGAAACTCCTTACTCCCTCCACTAAATAGTTGCCACACTCTTACTGCTTTCAAGAGGTGTCTGAAAACACATCTTTTTATAATTTGTTGTAATGTTCCTCTCCGTTTGTAAAGCTTTGTATGATAATGTTCCCTGTTTATGTTTCTTTGTAAGTATTTCTTGTATATGCGCTCAGTATTTAATGAAAAGGGGCTTTCTTATTGTAACATTGTTGTCCTTATTATTTGTTTTAATATTATTATTTACATTATGTAATATGTCAGTGTAATGTCGCACATTTCTAAAGGTGACCCACATTTATCTCAAGTCTTGGTGATCGTGTTATACACTCAATTCAGAAATATAAATCTGTTAAGATGATGTTTTATTACATTTCAATTTTGTGTTATAGTTGCTTCCTTGCATTTTGGCCTGTGATCAGTGGGCTCCTGATACCTATTGGTGTCGTCATGATCTTCAACTTTGTCATCTATGTTCGGGTCCTCATGCGACTAAACAAAACTATGAAAGGACAACACCTGGACAAGACGGAGAAGCGCCAGCGGATTCGACGTTTCCAGAACGCAGTTTGCATCTTGACTCTAATGGGTCTCACGTGGTCTTTTGGTTACCTGAGCATCATACAACCAGCCAGTGCGGTTGTACAAGGAATCTTCACTGTACTGAACTCTCTTCAGGGGTTTTTCATCTTCATGCTGTATTGCGTTAGACAGCCTCAGGTGCGCATGGCATGGCGTTCCCAGTTCAAATGCTGCTTACCTAAATATTTCACGACGCCCTCTGCGGCCAGTTCCGGTTCTGGACAACCCAGCTCAACGCTCAAGAACAGCTCATCAGACCTGAAGGACGGCCCTTTCCCAACTCGGACTCCAGCGGAAATCCGCCCAGAGACAGGAGGCTAGCTCCGCCGGATAGACTTTCTAGAGCTTCGTATGATAATGGTGGTACAGAGTGGTGAAGATACCATGTAGAACTGATAGATTTTGGATTGGACCAAAGGGTTGTAAAAAATTCAAACATGCAAGTATGTTTTCGATGAATTTTTAGCAGTTTATTCCGACCGCTCTATGAATACATCACTTATTTGTTCTATTACAGATCTTCTTGTAGTTGATTGAATTTTCGTTGATTAGTATTATTCGAACTGTTGGCGGTGGACTTCTAACTGGAGGATTTTTGTGTAATAGGATTATTCCCCTTTTAACGAGTGAGTGAAGAAGATGCATTTTTTAAACATGTTTATGATATACATTATGATTTTTTCGCATGGTATAATTGGAATGAAGGTAACCTATACGTATGCTGCAAACAGAACAGATAGTTTTATGTTTCACGTGCAAAACGAAAGCATCATTTTATTATACAGATTCAATTGAGAATTTCACCAATTAATTCAACAAATATTATGAATGAAACATAAATAGTAATTTGAGAATGTAAGATTTATATATTAAATTATGGGAGGTAAAATTATAACCCCTTGGGAAACAATATTCATGATGCTGCTACCAATGTGGTCCATATTTTCTACCAGGTATTCCCTTTCCTCTTCCATCCTTGATCGAATTATCGTTTCTTCTGCTAAAGAGAATACGGAGGCGCTATGGCTTCATGATAAAGCATTGGTCTCTTAACCGGGAGGTGCCGGGTTTGAAACCAGGTCGATGCGCCAGTGCCCTTTGGTAAGGCATTAATCCTCATTACCAGGGCTTTCGGAGATTACTTAAAGCTGTCTTTTCTTTTCTTTTTACAATGCCATTGATTTCATCAATTTGCTTTCTCTTCTTCTACTTCCTCTTTTTCTTCTTCCTTCCCTTCTTCACCTTTTCCTAATTACCATGATTACATTATTGTCTATACTCTTTATTCTATTTTTCTTTCCCTTCTCACATTCACTCTCCTTGTATGTCATTACAATCTCATACTATACTATTCCGTTTTCGCCTCCTATAATACCTTTTAAATTCAGACCTACTATATTGTGTTACTCAGTACGGGAGCCTATTCACATACTAGCTATGCCTTTTATTTAGGCTCCCCACATGTTACATTGTTTTACCTTGCCTGTCAAATCTATATATTTCGAAACTTCGTACTTATTTCCCGTACATTATACTTGATTTGAAATCTTTGATTTGGTTTGTGTGTGTAATCTACTCTGACTTAATATAAGCATATACAAAAAAATGAATTGTTTTTTATGTAGATGTGGAATAAATAAACTTCAAACTTCAAAGTACTACACATGCTTTCTAAGTAGTCGGGTAAAAAAAAAAAAACAAGAATAGTCTTTATTGTCAAATTTTGCATGTTTTTACATTGCATTGGTGATCTGACATCATTGTCTTTATTGAGTACCCAATATAGCTACGATTATGGTACAGTATTTTTACTGGAGCACGTATGTCGTACAACCATTAACAGTGGTTAAACAGAGAATGCTTTGATTTCATTCCTTCTTCCGTTTTGGCTTGACTGTTGATATGAAGCTAATAAACGAGCATGAAAACAATCCTGTGATTTTTTTTTTTACTAAACTGATTGACCTTGCACCATTAAAACGTATTTTCTCAGTCATATGTTTATGGTAATGATATCTCCCCCTCCTCTCTCTCTCTTTCAATGTTGTTATAACCCCTCACTCTCATACTCCCTCGCTCTCCTTCTCTCACACTCACACGCACACACACAAGAACAAACAAAAACCAACGCAAACAAAGAAAACAACACAAAAGATAACAATTTAAAGAAGATAAAAAGTACCCCGACTTCAATAATTTGTCTAGGCGAAATCTAGCTTTTAGCTTTGGGATATTACAATTTTCCATTTGTCGAGTTCAATAATCCCGTAAATTTATGTTTTTGTCTGCGCCTTCTACCTTGGGATATTACTCAAAAAATATTTTGGCTTGCGTATTACGAATGTCCTCTAAACAGACATTCACACAGGGATAATTTTCTTTAAAGCTGTTTAGTTAAACAGATTTAAGCAAATCAGCTCTAGATGTGATGCATTTTACCCCTGTGTGAAAAGGCTGCTGCAGATACGAAGCCCGTATCTAGAGAGCAAGAAATTTTGTGTGTGAACGGATATTATTACGTCCTTAACTAGACCGGGCACTGCTCTTTAAACGCTCAGTATTGCGCATGTACGAGCAGCAATGGCCACTAAGTACTAAGCGTTTAAAGAGCAGTGAATCTCTAGCAACCGCACCGAAATTGTATGTGTGTGTGAATGATGTTGTATCTAAAGCTGATTAGTTTAAACCTCTTTAAACTAATCAGCTTTGAAGAATTTTACCCCTGTGTTAAAAGGGGGTAAGACCGGCGTGAGAATCGCGACTTCGTATATGTCCGAACATCGTATAAACGACGTTCACAGTTTTAAAAGCTTTAACCAAATCAGCTCTAGATACGATGAATTTTACCTGCTATCAGACGCGTACGCAGGTGGAGGGAGGGGGGGGGGGGTATACCCCTTTTATTTCTTTTAATATGTGTGTTTTGAAGGACCCCCCCCCCCTTTCTATTTTTTTTAACCTTTAAAAAAAAAAAAAATTGGGACCCAAACAAAAAAATAATATGTCCTCGTACCCCCTCCCCCCCCCCCCCCGCTTGTTTAGCAGCTTGCTGAGTCGTTGCGAAATTTTTGGCCCGATTTAAAAATGTTAACCCCCCCCCCCTTGAAAAAATGCTGCGTACACCACTCATAACATTAGGAACCAGAGCACTATAACACTGACTTCCCATAGTTTAAGAAACAGCAAGATCATCATGTGAAAGTGAAACAATGAGACCGTACGTAGCGCTGGTCGTAGTATATAAGATCACATTGAATGTGTGTAGTAATATGTACGTTGACATCTGATTGGACGAACATAAATACAATGCGTTTTTGGATATATACCACATGTGAACACAAAAATAACCACTTGCGGACATTTATGACCTTTAGAAACATCGGAATTATTATAAGTGTGAAGTAAAAAAGAAGAAAACTTGGTATTGGTATGTCCGCTTTATGATGACATGTATTTACGTACACGGTTTATGCAATTCACTTGAAGTGATCGTTGTTTGATTCCTCGAATCTGACGAATTGAAGTCTTTAGAAGTCCCTAAGCTTCAACAGAGGATTATCCATCTCAGAGGCTATACAGGTAAGCTATACAAACAATATATACACAAAACAATTTGCTAGTAGAGTTGATTTGATTGTCGCAGAATCCCCCTCCCCCTTTAATGTAATCTAATTAGGACACACAAATAAATGATATTCTAAATGGTCCACGTTTATAATATATAATGAATTCAAAGGTTTATTATAAGTTTTGAATGTCTATATGAACATAACAAATTAGAACAAGTTGTTCACTGTGGCGATATATTACAATCAAAATATTAACAAAGTATAATAAATGAAATATAGCGTCACACATTACAATAATCTATTATGTTAAATATTTGTATTGTCCCTCACAAAATTTTCAAACAACTTCCTTAATTTTACTAAAGATATCCTCTTTCTGATGTAGATTGTCTGGGAAACAGTCCACCCTAGCTCAAGAAAATTTAAAATTCAAACTCAATTCACGCGATTTGGTGTATACTTTTGTCCAAATCTTTATTATATTGGCTTTATTATTTCTCTACAGTTGAAAAGAAAAAGTGTGAAAATTGTACCGACTTTCCTAAATCCCTGACCATATCAGAAAACTAGGACTGAATCGTGGCTGGATTTGGAGTTTTCAAAATGCTATGTGTCATTTTACCGGTCCATTAGACTTTAGCTGAATTTATACTCGAAACGCAACGGTTTATGAGCAGTACATTTATGCTTGCCGATATATCGATTATTTTCTGCCACAACTCAACGCAAAGTCATGACATTTCAATTAAAAATGTATTTTTTTAACTTTAACTCTTATCATGCCACAGTGCTAATCCCCATTGCGCCAAGCCCCAAATCCCCTCAGTGCCAGCTTTATTATAAGCTAATCTTATTAACGCGAAGGTTCTATGAATAGCGCATGCGAAACACACAGCACAGTCCAATGAGCATGAACAATAACTCCTATAACGAATGCGTGCAAAGGCGGAAATGGCAGTGAAACGGTGGTTTGCTTGCATGTACAAAGCATTTATAGGTAGCGTGCATGCAGCCTTATTGCAGGCCATGAGTTAATGCGGTACAGCACTGCAGTCATGCCGCACCGTAATGCCTGTATGAACGAACTTTCACTTGTGCAAAATTGCCGGTACAGCAACGCTTAGCTATTTATGATGACAGTGGCGTACATGGGATCGGGGGGGGGGGGCAATGAAGGAGTTTCCATGTCATGCAAAGTTGGCAAAAATCAGAAAGATTAGAGGAAATTTGAAAAGAAATGTGAAAAATCGGAAAAAACATTTGACAAAATCGAGAAGGAAATAGAAAGAATCGGGAAGGAAAATAAACACTGGAAAGTCCGTGGTTTCATCAGGCTTCATCAGGAATTGATAAATTTATTCAATTTGTTCAATCAACAGCATCATAGAAATGCAGTGCGCAAAATGCAAGACGCAGCATCAAAAGCAACGAGCTAAATGCTAAGCGTGAAGCACAAAAGTAGCAATCTGCAATGCACATCAGACAATCCTGGACAGTGTAAACATAGATGAACTCTGTGACGATTTCGTGATGAGATCGGAGACAAGGAGAAAGATTTTCGGACATTAGTATGACTTATAAAATAGTTCACTAGTTGTTATGTTGTTTCCGTTCACCCTTTTTAAAATTCACGTCATTGTATCTTTATTTTTATTTTTTTCACTCATTTTATTTCCTGATATTTCCTAAAACATTTTTCATTTTTGGAGAAAGATTATTATGTCACAACTTATGTGTGACTCAACTTATTTT